ACATATTTTCTGTTAATTTGAGGGAAACTTATACAAAAAAAACAAATGTACAGTTATTTCATGCAGTTACTGAATAATTGGCCTTACTATTCGGTCATGTAAATACAGCTGAAAAAAAACAAAATACACATGCAGGTTTGTTCTGGTTATAGCCGTGTTTTGAGAATCGATGCAGCTACACGTCCCGCTCAGTCTGTGACTGGTTATTCCGCATGTCAGTCAAACTACACTCTTAAAAACAGTTCTTTAGTAAAGAATACGGTTCTGTATAGAACCCTGAGTACTCAAATAACGCTTTGCTTGATTAAATGGTTCTTTGCATGGTGAAATTATTCTTGAATTGAAGGAGAATATGCTGTAGATGGTTCCGTACAGAACCATTGTGAAAAGGGTTCTATATAGCACCAAAAAGAGCTCTTTATTGTTAAGTTTGCCATCATGATAGTAGAAGAACCCTTTTTGGTGCTACACGGAACCCTTTTCACAAACATCTACAGCACATTCTCCATCAATCTGAAGAACATTTCCATGATGCAAAGAACCTTTTAATTATGCAAAGTGTTCTCAAAGTTTTTGAACTAAAGAACCCTTGAAGCACAATCATTTATTAAGAATGTAGGGACACACAAGAATATTGGAATTATTTTAGTATTAGCAGAAAAAAAATAGCAGTAAACAGACGTTTAGATTTGATCGATATTTAATGATTTATTAATGTTTATTGTACCTCAGAAGAACAGAGCGTTTATACGGCCGTCTAATGCTAATCCAGGAGTTTAGCTCCAACTGCTCTGTTGATAAACGTTTATGTATCAACTTTGTCAGATATATACATGGGAAATACTGCCATCACCCCACAGTTCCCACAGTAGTGCCTAAGGCTACATTTACACAGCAGGTAAAAGTGGCCCAAATCTGATTTTCTCACCAAATCGGATTTTTTTGTTTGGCTGTTCAGATTATCTTCTAAATGTGATCTGTATGAGACATCAGTCTGAACAGATCAGCTCCTAAACTGACCCACATACGCAAAAGAACAATGCTTTATGTGGCTCATCCAGAGGTAAACAATCATGAGTTCGCCGTAAAGGGGCTCGTTATTCGGCCACGGTCACGTCTTTGGTTCACGTCCTCGGATTCTTACGACTTTTTTGACGCTGCAGCTTCGTCCTCCTCTGGCCGCGTTCGGCTGTTTCGTTCGAAACCTCTTCGGCCACGCAGCGGCTGCGACGAGTCTCTTCTAATGTTTTTGGTACAGAAACATCAGCCTAAATATTTGTGAGTCTCAGCAGCGAGAAATTATGACGAATGTCGAGCTGGACTGACGTAAAAGTCGCATGAACTCCGATCTGGCTGTTCAGACTGAGTCGCATTGATGCAGATCGGATACGTATCGGATTTCAGTGCCACATATGAAAGCATCTCAAATCGGAATTAAAAATGTCAGATTCAGTGTGTTTATCTGAGTATGTGACACACATCTGTGTCACATACGGAGAAAAAGATCGGATTTGAGCCACTTTCACCTGCTGTGTGAACTGAGCCTAAGTCAAACGGTCTTCTCCCGTTAAAGTGGGCGGCTCTTGGCCACATTAAGGTATGAAATACCAGATTCTCTGATGACCGGCAGAGCAGGTATCCTTACACATAGGCTATGTTCACACAGCAGATAAAAGTGGCCCAATGTAACCTCCCTAGGGCGAAGGTTTGGTTTTGCTTGTTTCTCTTTCTCTCTCTCTCTCTCTCTCTCTCACTCTCGCTTATTAGGAACCCGCCCACTCGTGCATGTGATTGGCTGGAGTCCCATAATGATGCTTGCATCTGATTGGCTGTCTGCAATTGCATGGGGCATTTCTTCGACGGCTGCGCCTGATGTCCTCGAGGCTTTCCTCCACGCCGGCTTGGGGCGACTGTTCTTAGATCAGAACCGCAGCTCAGCTAGAGGTTTGTTTTATGGCTCCTGTATTGTCTGTCTCTGTCTGAAATGTATTAGCTTAGCTCTACTCCTTGTTCTCTGCCCAGTTTCCTCTACTGTTTAGCAGCCAGCTCATGATCCTTCTCTGTAACTTTCACTCTCATGCTGACTGTAGGTGCAGGCTGTAGGAGTGGGTCCTATTTATTTTGATTATTTTTGTTATAGTCAGGGAGGGAAGACTGTATTTCTTGTTTCTTTATTTCGGTATAGGTAAGTTAGTTCTCTAAAATCTCTAGCTAGCCTGGTTATGTTTGTTGTTTGCTCCCAGTCTGAAGATGTCCTGTGTTGTGCACACAAAAGTGCTGCAAAAGAGAGGAAAATAACACGACTTGATCTGTTTAAACATCGACTGGCTCTCTTTTGTCTTTATGACCATCACAAACCCCCAGACAGGCTGTAACAGCCAAATCTGATCTTTTTCTTCATATGTGACACAGATGTGTGTCAGTGTGTCACTGCAAACAGCAAAAAACACACTAAATCTGACATTTTCAATTCCGATTTGAGACGCTTTCATCTGTGGTACTGAAATCCGATACGTATCAGCAATGCGACTCAGTCTGAACAGCCAGATTGGAATTTAAGCGACTTTTACGTCAGTACGACTCAACATTCGTCATAATTTCTCGCTGCTGAGACGTGAAACGTTTGGGGTGATGCTTCTGTACAAATCCAAACCCTCTGTGTTCGAAGAGATTTCGAAAGAAATGGCCGAACGATAAAAAGGAGCAGAATTAGACTCGTTGTGCACCATAAACAAGGCTGTTTTACACCCATACACTGCACAACATACCCATGTATGTCAGGAAACAGGCCATGGGTGACTTAAGTGTTTCTGTACAAATCCGACCTGCAGCGTCAAAGAACGGTTAAAAGTCTGAAAGCAAAGTTTAAAGAATCCGAGGACGCGAACCAAAGAAGTGACCGCGCCCTTTTTACGGCTCAAACACATTCTGGGTGATGAGCCCAGCTGTCAGTCAGTGAAGCTTCATGATGGCTCCTGTGATGCTGGTGAAGATGAAGCTGATCCTCCGGGAGCGACTGGCGTTCGTTGGTGGTCGTGATTGTTTACCTCTAGATGAGCCGTGAAGCAGCGTGACGCTCTGGTCTTTTGCGCATGTGGGTCAGTTTAGGAGCTGATCTGTTCAGACTGATGTCGCATACAGGTCACATTTAAAAGATAATCTGAACAGACAAACAAAGAATCGGATTTGGTGAAAAAAAAATTATAAATAATAATAATAAAAAAAAAATCAGATTTGGGCCACTTTTACCTGCTGTGTGAACGTAGCCTTACTGATGTGGTTTCTGACACTGTATGACATTCTGTTATCTATAAACACAGATAGTGTGTCACATAGCTACAAACTGTAGTAGCCAACCTGAAACCTGAACTCTGCCCATGTTTACAGATAACAGCGAGTCATACAGTGTCAGAGAGCACATAATCAAGTCTATTAGAGACACTGAACAACTCCACATGGTTTGAGGCGAGCATGATGATCTCAGCATTCTTGGTGGAGTGTAAGCTTCCATTAATGCAAAAAGTGAAGAAACTTCCCAAACATGTTTGGGCTGATCGACCACATTCGGGAAATGTGTCAATCTGTATTTCCTTAAAAAGCAAAATACAAAAAAAAACATGTACCTTAACTCCCTGGATGAGTCCATTCATCAAAAACGTGTGCTTTGGGAATGTTTCATGAAGAACCTGGACACAAACAAGAGACCAAGACAATACATAAGACGCAATACTGAGGGCAGCAGCTGTTTGGACAGTACCTGCTTGTTCTACTGCAGTGTTAGCAATTAAACTTGAGCCCTCGTGGTTACACAGCCTACTTTTCTCTCTCCACAGAGAGACTGCATTAGCTGGATCAAGGTTAAACAGCATCGCTCACAAACAAAGGTCAGTTTTCATGCAAATAAACTTTCCAAGCATATGATCTCTGTCCAGAGCCAAGACCAAGGGGCCACGTTTCAGTGCAGTTTTATTACAAAGATAAAAAAGTGCAGATTTAGACTCTCATAAACAAGGCTGTTTTACACCCATACACTGCACAACATGACCATGTATGTCAAGAAACAGGCCATGGGTGACTTAAGTTGGTATGTTTGTAAGTTCTTCAATGATCCACTGTACAAAACACTCAGACTCCCATGAATGTGATATTTCTTGTCATAACTTGTATGTTCAGATGCACAGAAGTCTTTCTGTTCGCTACTGTTTATGGTTGGATCCTTCTTTCTTTCAGTTCACAAGTGACTTATTAGATTTTACAGCCTGACCCAAATATACACCGATCAGGCATAACATCATGACCACCTCCTTGTTTCTACACTCACTGTCCATTTTATCAGCTCCACTTACTATATAGGTGCACTTTGTAGTTCTACAGTTACAGACTGTAGTCCATCTGTTTCTCTGATACTTTGTTAGCCCCCTTTTACCCTGTTCTTCAGTGGTCAGGACCCCCATGGACCCTCACAGAGCAGGTACTATTTGGGTGGTGGATCATTCTCAACACTGACGTGGTGGTGGTGTGTTAGTGTGTGCGTTGGTCTGAGTGGATCAGACACAGCAGTGGTGCTGGAGTTTTTAAACACTGTGTCCACTCACTGTCCACTCTATTAGACTCTCCTACCTTGTCGGTCCACCCTGTAGATGTAGTCAGAGACGATAGCTCATCTGCTGCTGCACAGTTTGCGTTGGTCATCCTCTAGTCCTTCATCAGTGGTCACAGGACGCTGTTGGCTGGATATTTTTGGTTGGTGGACTATTCTCAGTCCAGCAGAGACACTGAGGTGAATAAAACTCCAGCAGCACTGCTGTGTCTGATCCACTCAGACCAGCGCAACACACACTAACACACCACCACCACGTCAGTGTTACTGCAGTGCTGAGAATGATCCACCACCCAAATACTACCTGCTCTGTGAGGGTCCATGGGGGTCCTGACCACTGAAGAACAGGGTAAAAGGGGGCTAACAAAGTATCAGAGAAACAGATGGACTACAGTCTGTAACTGTAGAACTACAAAGTGCACCTATATAGTAAGTGGAGCTGATAAAATGGACAATGAGCGTAGAAACAAGTAGGTGGTCATAATGTTAGTGCCTGATCGGTGTTCACTATATGGACAAAAGTATTGATTAACAGGTGTGTCCCACTGAATTCAGGTGTTTCGTTCAGTCTCATTGCCACAGGTGTATGAAATCAAGCCCTTAGCCATGCAGTCTGCCTTTACACACATTAGTGAAAGAATGGGGCTAAAGAGTCACTGGATTTGAGTGTGGTGCTGTAATATGATGCCACCATTGCAACAACTCAGCTCTTTCTTCCTAAATATTCCACAGTAAACTGTGAGTGGTATTGTTGAAAAGTGGAAGCGTTTAGGAACCACAGTGACTCATCAATGAAGTGTCAGACCACATAAAGTTACAGAGCGGGTCGCTGAGTTCTGAGGAGCATAGAGCATAAAAGTCACCAACGCTCTGCTGATCAATAACTGCTCAGTTCAGACCTCCTCTGGCATCAACATCAGCATAGAAACTGTATGCCAGGAGCTTCATGGTAGGGATTCCATGGCTGAGCAGCTGTATGCAAGCCTTACATCACCCAGCACAATGCCAAGCTTCGGATGGAGTGGAGTAAAGCGCCGCCACTGGACTCTGGAGCAGTGGAAACGTGTTCTGTGTAGCGATGAATCAGCTTCTCTATCTGTCAGTCTGATGGACGAGTCTGGGTTTGGCGAATGCCAGGAGAACGTTACCTGCCTGACTGTACTGTGCCAGCTGTACAGTTTGGTGGAGGAGGGATGATGATATGGGGCTGTTTTTCAGGGGTTGGTCTAGAACCCTTAGTTCCAGTGAAGGGAAATCTTAATGCTTCAGCACCAAGACATTCTGGACAATTCCATGCTTCCACCTTTGTGGGAACAGTTTGGGGAAGAGCCTTTCCTGTTCCAGCATGACTGAGCCCCAGGGCACAAAGCAGCTCCATAAAAGTCTGGCTGGGTGAGTTTGGTGTGGAGGAACTTGACTGGCCCTCACAGAGCCCTGACCTCAACCCCATCACACACCTTTGGCATGAACTAGAACGGAGATTGCGAGCCAGACCCTCTCGTCCAACATCAGTGTCTGACCTCACAAATGCTCTTCTGGATGAATGGGCAGAAATTCCCACAGACTCTCTCCAACATCTTGTAGAAGCTTCCCAGAAGAGCGGAAGCTGTTACAGCTGCAAAGGGGGACCAACTCCATATTAATGCCCATGGATTTAGAATGGGATTCATTAAAGCTGCTGTATGAGTAATGTTTAGGTGTCCCAATACTTTTGTCCATATAGTGCATACAAGCATTCAAGCTCACAAACCCTGGTCCTGGAGATCTACCTTCCTACAGAGTCTAGCTCCAACCATAATCTGCCACACCTGCTCCAGATAACTGACGTCTTCAGAAGTCCCTGAGACGCACTAGTGTAGGTAAAGGTGGAGCAGCATGTCAGATGCAGGTTGGGACTGAACTATGCAAGAAAGCAGATCTCCAGGAGGAGGGTTGGTGACCACTGGGGTAGACCCTGCTGGTGTGTGAAATAGCTCCTACATACTGCTCGTGTACTGATTGTGCCCAAAATAGTAACTAATATGAGGTATGTGTCAAAAATGAATTTCCCCAAAGACACCCGGACGACGTACTGCACACCACGTCATTTCAGGAGGACGTAACCACTGACGTGACCATTTGGTTTGCTTCGAACAATTTAACAGCCCTTAGAACACTTAAATGAAAGGAAATCATTCGACCTGATCCTGCATTCAACTTTCTACGCTGGTCTCGATGGGTTTGTTTACTTCATCTGTTTAATAAAGTGAATTTACTACACAGATAACGTGGATAAAGCAGCCACTTCCTCCAAGCATTGGCTTTTCAGGCTCTCGTGTGGAGTCTGCTTTACACAGTACACAATATATACAGGTGGAGTATACAACATACAGTATATACACACACTGGTGCAGTATGCAATATACAGTATATACACACACAAAAACACACTGGGGCAGTATACAGTATATGCAGGAGCAGTATGCAGTATACAGCACACACACACACACACACACACACACACACACACACACAGGTGGAGTATATAGTATATGTAGATGCAGTATACAGTATACACACACACACAAGTGCAGTATACTGTACATACAGGTGCAGTACGCAGTATACTGTACATACAGGTGCAGTATACAGTATACAGTATACATATACACACACACACACACACACACACACACAGGTGCAGTATACAGTACAAACAGGTGCGGTGTGCAGTATACAGTATATACACAAACACACACACACACAAACGTGCAGTATACAGTTTATGCGGGCGCAGTACGCAGTATACAGCACACACACACACACACACACACACACACACACACAGGTGCAGTATACAGTACATACAGGTGCAGAATGTAGTATACAGTATTTACAGGTGTAATATGACTGACTTGACTATACAGATTATACAGGCGCAGTATACAGTATACAGTATGCAGTACACAGTATGCAGTATACAGTATACAGTATGCTATTTTAAACACAGCCCCTTAGATGATTTGCCACTTGGGAGCCCAATAAACTCTCTTCGTACCTTAATCACAGTAATACTGCACTGGGGATCTGAACACCATCGTGGTTAAAAATAAAACTTTCTCTATGAAAAGATCTGATAAAAACAAGACAAATGAGAGGCAAACAACAGAAACTGGAACTGCAAGTATTTCTGGGTTGGTCTGTTCGCAGAGATACAATATTTATAGAATTTGCGACTGAGTTTCTGCTGTTTGACTAAGAAAAACGATTAAGAACCAACAGTCGTATCTCGTAACTCACAGCTGAGAACCATCAATGATCTCAGTCACAGCTCTTTTTAACTAAGAGAAAATCTAAAATACACATAAAACTAAACCCCCTTAAAATCACTACGGGCCACAACGTTCATACCAACATCACATTTCTATACGAGCCCTACAGATACAGATCACCTGACTTTCCCCTCGTCTCAGCTCAGGCATGCAAACTAACAGGACTAATTGGTTTTACTCCTCAACGAAGTGGGCCACTGGCTCAGGCCTTGTTTGGGTTCCTGATTAATCAAGGACAAAGGATCTCACACACAAGCAGGTCGGAGTGAAGATGTGTTGAGTGAACGTTTTATTTGGTGAAAGGGAGAAATGAGGAGTAACCTTGTATATAAAAACGGGACAGGACCGTCTTTAGATCTGCTTAGTCTGCTTTTTTGTTAAGGCTGTAACTATTAGGGCTGGGCGATTCGGCAAAAACGTATCATGATACACAATATTCATCACCAAATTTAATTTATTTTATATTAGAAAGCCCATTAGTGACAAATTTAAAAATTACACTCAAAAACTATAAATATTATATTTTTTATTCTGCATTTCATACACTGTGCTGCTCTAAATCCAATTTAGCAGCACTAATTATGCTTTCTGTGTGTTTATTTTTAGGATTGATGATGACTGATGAAAAAATTAACGTTAAAAACAGTATATAAAATTATCACCAACACTCGTTGGTCTCTTGTGATGGCCTCTCATAAAACAAAAAAACAACGAGTGTGTTTACATGCAGTCAATAATCCGATCATAATCAGATTACTGTAGTTATCTGATTATTCAAATGGTCATGTAAACAGCACACTGATTTCTTAGATCAGAGTAAGGTCTAGAAATCTGATTAAGAAATCCGATGAAGAGGCTGGATTTTAGCTCAGTAATCAGATTTTTCAGTGCATGTAACTCTTACTCTGATTTCTTTCGGATTTCTCAGTCTGAGCATGTGCGAAAACAGACGGCGGGACCGGAAATAAGCGAGCAGCGTCGCCGCGAGACACAGCAAAACACTTAGAGTTACACTGAAACCAAATACATGCTTGACGTAATGAAGAATTTCAATATTCTTCATCTTCTTGATGGTGTTTCTTCATATTTTCAGGTAAAGTGGCGCAGCGAATAAAAAAAAAAAAGTTTGAGTTTTACGTCACGTTTACGTTGCGTCTTCTTCTGTGAGTCTATTGGCTGGTTGCAAAGCAGAATTCCGATTACTGTCTGACTCATGTAGACCTGGAGTTTCCCATTATCTGATTACCCAAGTGCATGTAAACACACTGAACCAGTTACCGACACAATCAGATTTTCTGCAGTTATCGGATTATTTAAAAAGGTCATGTAAACAGCACACTCTGATTTCTTAGATCGGAGTAAGGTCTGGAAATCTGATAAAGAGACTGGATTTTAGCTCAGTAATCAGATTTCTCAGTGCATGTGAACTCTTACTCTGATTTCTCTCAGATTTCCCAGTCTGAGCATGTGCAAAAACAGACGGCGGTACTGGAAATAAGCGAGCAGCACCGCCAAATACACGCTTGACGAAATGAAGGATTTCAATATTCTTCATCTTCTCGATGATGCATGTTTATGTTTAGGGAAACGAAGTTTATAAAAAAATAATAATAATAAAAAAATAAAAAGGCTGCGGTAAGTTTGAGTTTTACATTACGTTTATGTCACGTCTTCTTCTGTGAAATCTGATTACTGTCTGACTCGGAGATTCTGACTCTGACTCATGCAGACCCGGAATTTCCCCATTATCTGATGACCACAGTGCATGTAAAAACACTGAACCAGTTACTGACACAATCAGATTTTCTGATTATTAAGTGCCTGTAAACGCACTCAGTGAAATGGCGACGTGGTTACAGTTAAAGCTCAGTGCCAGGTGTTCATTTAGTACCTATTTACTGCCCTTTATGTTCACATTTCAATTTTGGGAACCTGAAAGACTATATAAGGTTCTGAGGTAGTTCAGTTCTCCGTTCTCTGATCTGTCTAAGGACACGCGTGCATCGAACCGAAATTCAGGGGTTTCTAATCCAAAACACTCTGTGCAGCATAAAATGAGAGCTTAGAAAAGATGGTGCTTCAAGGGTTCTTCAGTAAAGAAAGTGGTTCTATATAGCACCATGAACACTCAAAGAACTCCCCGCATGATTAAAGGGTTCTCTGCAGCATGAAAGTGTTCTTTAGACTGATGGAGAACGTGCTGTGGATGGTTCTACACAGAACCTTTTCGAAAAGGGTTCTTCTATTGTTATGATGTCAAGCTTGTTACAATAAAAGAACCCTTTTGGGTGCTATAGAGAACCATCTACCGCACATTCTCCATCAGTCTAAAGAACCCTTTAATCAGTCTAAAGAACCCTTTAATGAACACTCAAAGAACCCTCTGCTAGATTAAAGAGTTCTTTAGACTGATGGAGAACGTGCTGTAGATGGTTCTATACAGAACCTTTTCGAAAAGGGTTCTTCTATTGTTATGATGTCAAGTTGTTACAATAAAAGAACCCTTTTGGGTGCTATAGAGAACCATCTACCGCACATTCTCCATCAGTCTAAAGAACCCTTTAATCAGTCTAAAGAACCCTTTAATGAACACTCAAAGAACCCTCTGCTAGATTAAAGAGTTCTTTAGACTGATGGAGAACGTGCTGTAGATGGTTCTACACAGAACCTTTTCGAAAAGGGTTCTCCTATTGTTATGACGTCAAGTTGTTACAATAAAAGAACCCTTTTGGGTGCTATAGAGAACCATTCATGCACCTTTTCCTTCAGTCTGAAGATTCTTTCATGATGCAAAAACCTGTCAATCATGCAAAGGGTTCTTTGAGTCTTCATGGTTCCATATAGACCCATTTCCTTTACTAAGGAACCCCTGAAGAACCGTCGTTAAGCGTGTAGAGCAGGACAGTATCATAATATTTATGGCCATTGTGATAAATTACATCACAGTAAGTCACAACATGCTTTTCTGAGTACACTGTGGACGTCGGCAGTACCTCAAAACCCTTCACCTTAACTTAAAATCACTTCCCGACTGCATGTCTGATTAAAAAGAGAGATTAATTAGTCCTTAATTAGATTAATTAGGGATTTAGTGCAGCTCAGCATGAGAAATGTTGAATATAAATTACTGTATTCATAATTTGGCGCTACTTTGTCTGTTCTAACTTATCAGACGTCAGAAAAAATACATATCATAACATCAGATATTGTAAAAAAAATCATTAAGTATCGTGAAATATTCGCCCGGCTCTCAACACACAAAACAACGAACATCATATCGAACCAGGAAAATGTGCATCACTACACCCTTTACATTTAAACCACATCCATTTTTTGGATGGATCAGACACCATAATCGCTGCTGTCGGAACAAAACCTCGTATCTCCAACATGGTAACTTTACAGGAGAAGGAAAAAACCTACTTTACTTTTAATGGAAGTCAATGGAACCAGAATTTTTTGCAAGTCATTTTGGGCCGTTTTGTTCGGTCCATTCATCATAAAATTGACATGCGATATAAAGAGCCACATGCATTTTCAAATTCTGTTAAAAACTGAAAAACGACAAAAATGGAGATACAAGGTTTGCTTCTGACAGCAGCGATGTGCTCGGAGACAAGTGGCCTGTTCATTCAGTTAAAAGAGAAAGTGGCTCTTCTGTAAGTTAAACACCATATAAATGGTCAGAACCCACACGTTCTGTATTCCCGGCAGACAAAGCCACAAAGAGAATAAGCAAGAAAACCCAACTTACCACCAGCGTAGGTGCGGTCAGCAGGCCCCAAGCAAAGAACTCCAGAAATATGACTATGACAGCATGGTAAACGGTGGGGGAGCCGAAACCCTGAGGCTGCAGAAAGACAAAAACAGCTCTGAAACACTTCACTACACAGGAAACGACAAGACCACGGCTATAAGCAACACAGATGAAACGTTGACAGATGACGTTTTTTGGTGGTAAACGGTTAGCAGTGCTAGATAACTAATCTAGCACCTTCTGTCTTCTGAGAGATCTGGGGCTTATAACCCACAAACGTATGTGGCCGCTGTGCAGTAAAGCCCTTTAAGACGTTTCTGTGAATATTTACGTGATAAAATGTCAATATTTAACCAATTGTGGACACAGGAGTCAGGAATCCTGATACAGATACAGAACCATGAGTTCTATACAGAACCATTTGCATGCTTGCACCTTGGTCCCATGGTGAAAGTGTTCTTTAGATTGATGGAGAATGTGTCGTATGTTTTTGAAAACGGTTCTTTATAGCACCGAAAAAGGTTTTGCTGCTGTTATGATGTCAAGCTGAACCCTGTTTGGTGCTATAAAGAACCTTCAGTAAAAGCAATGGTCCTATTTAGAACCATGAGTTCTATGTAGAATCATTTGCATGCTTGAATCGTTCTTCCCATCGTGAGATGGTTCTTCAGATTGATGGAGAATGTGTCACATGTTTTTGAAAATGGTTCTTTTTAGCACCGAAAAAACGCTTTGTTGTTGTTATGATGTCAGGCTTGTGATACAGAACCATATACAACACACTCTCCATCAATCTGAAGAACAGTTTCACCACACAAAGAACCATTTACGCATGAAATGGTTCTATATAGAGTTCTTGGTTCTAAATAATCACTGTCTTTACTAAAGAACATTTGAAGAACTCTCTTTTTTTCAAGTGTGTCCCGTCAAATTCAACGCCATGTGTTTTCACTCAGAAACTGATAAACACAGGAAGGGTTTTCACTTTCATTTCTCCAGAACCCTTAAGGTTTTGCTTGGGTTCGGGAAAAAACTCTGTAAAGTGTCTCTGAAATATTTCAAATATTCAAATAGTTTAACTGCTGAACCGCTGTGCCATTATATGTTAACATTTATCTGATGTTATATTAAACATTTTTTTATTTACAAATAAAGCTTCAGTCCAACCTACTTAAATTAACGCCGGTGAAACTGGCGCCATCTAGTGTAAAGACTTCGCCATTGCTCGTCGAATATAGTTAATGGGTTACGTTCATGCAGCAGGTTGTGATGACCAGAAGAAAACAAGCATGTGGTATGTGTTTTTATAAGGAGAGACAAAATCGGCTAATTTATGGAAAATTCAGGGCCCTAAACCTTTCTAGAACCGGGGAAAACCTATACGAGTGTAGATGATGTCAACAGGCGGCCTACACACTCTCAAATGATCTAATATCTAATCATATCTAAGCCTTCCAGACCCAGAAACACTGACAAAACGCAACGAGGCTGAACTTTGCTTCTTATTCGCCAGCTCGTTGTTCGAATTTTCCCGTTCCACCTTAAATGGCGCATTCAGCTCCGTGCTACCTTCAGAGCCTAATCAAGTCCAAATATGCCTGGCTGCGTTTTAACGAGGTTGAAGTTGGCACCTTTTTTCGAATTTTCCGTTCCACCTTAACACACATTAACTCCATACTGTAAGCTACCGTTGACGGAATGGCACTGCCGCCCCATTTAAGGTGGACCGGAAAATTCGGAAAAACAAGACAACTTTCAGCCTCGTTGCCGCTGGCGGAAACAGAAGCTGTTGCTCCTGCCAGCTTCTCCGGCCACTTTACAAGAAATCGAAGCAAATATCGCGGCCTAAAAACGACAGATGAGGTGGTTTTTGGGCTGTGGTGCGTCCGCTCACCGCTCCTCCGTCCTTGATGATGATTTTTTTGGCCAGCAGCAGACTGCGATTCACCCGCTTCTTCTTCTTGCTCTGTGTCATATTCCCATCCTAGTGTTTTTATCCTCCTTTTTCTAAGGTGGAGAGAGTCTCGGCGGGCTTCAGCGGGAACTCATGAAGACGAAAAACGCCGTAAAAGTGCCGCGGGAGGCAGATTTGTCCACAGTTTCACTCTTCGCCTCTTCCATTCACTCCGCACTCCGCCATCTTCACACAGGACAAAATCAAACACAGCCAGTGCGCGCTGACGTCACGACGCACTGACGTAGACATCATACGATTCGGGTGGCTTAATTTATGCATGGACTCGACCGAAAGGGGAACTCCACCGGTTTGTCAAAATTTGCTGCCTAGTTCGGTTCAGATGTAAACAAAGTCGTTCAGAGTGGATTGAGGTGAAATGGTGCGTTGTAGAGAAACGTTTTTGGACCGCTTTACAGTGGTAGTGTTTTGAGGTCTCTGTGTCTGGACTAGGAACCACTTTATTTAGCCAAGTTTGTTACACATACGAGGCAGTTTGTTTTGGTGAGTCACACATGTATGACATGTGACAGACCAGACAAGCCCACAGACTGTTAATGAGTATTTAACTAAGAGAAAAAACAATAAAATACAACAAATAGAACAAAGAATAAGAAAGGGACTGTGTGAAATGAGCTGAAGAGAAGTGTGAATATACACACTGTACAAAAGCAGATATGAATATCTATACATATGCAGGTCTGAGCAGACATAATATAATAACTATTATATATAGAATACAACAGTGATGTGAACGTTTGTAAAAGTTTAGCATTGTACAGCATTATGTTACAGAGGAGTCATTGTAATACAATAAGGAGGTTTGTTTGGTTTAGTTTGGGTTTAAAGTGTGAGGTGTACACTGTGGTTAATGAGCCACAGCTCTGGGGAATAAGCTGCTGGCATGTCTGGCTGTGCTGGTTTTGAAGGCCGTGAATCTTCTAGCAGAGGAAAGCGGCTGGAAGAGGTGATGTCCAGGATATGAGGCATCAGCTGTAATTTTGCCGGCGCGCTTCATCACCCTGCTGTTGTAAATGTTGTTGGACCTACATCCGATGCTCCCCTCTGCTACAACACAACTATAGCCATTTTATTTACTATCCAAAACCACAAGTGACCCTATCCTACATGTCTTCAGAGCGTTATGTGTAAAGTTGGTAATGATAAAATAGTGCTAAATGTGAAGAAAAACAATTGCCTTACAATGGCCTACATTTACCTCTCTACCATGTGCTTCTTCAGTTGTTTCCACACCAGAAGATAAAAACACAAGGACCAGTCTCAAACTAAAATTAAGAACTGGGGGGATGTTTTTGTAATGTGTCTCCTTAACCTTAGAAGCAACAACTTAACATTGAAACACCGATCAACTGATCAAGTATAACAATGAAAATCACAAGCAGAACTGTTTTTATTGACTAAATAGGATCTCATATGACATCTCATATGGCAGTCACATCAAGACAGACACAGTACGGAGTTTAATGGAGGAAAAATAGAGGAATTATGAGAACAGGGATTATAATTAATGATAAGAAAAACAAAAAGAAAATGAAGAAAAACAAAATAAGGAAAAATATTTAGCATTACAGAACTGAACAGCCAACATTACCCTAAACCACATAGGTAAAACAGCGCCTTCCAGTGTACAGATTTAACATTGCGCACTAACTCGCCGTCCTCTATGGGGAGTGAAAGTGCAGAACTACGCCATCTGCTGGATGCGTCCATACCATTTTGAATCGGCAGTCGTTTAGCTGTAGAGGGGTTTTTGGCAACGCTCAAAGCTGGAACGTTTGAGAAACAACTTATTTTGCGACCACACAAATACAGCAACTACAACCACAACATCACAGCAAACATTTTGCTGAGCAATATAACTATGAAGACTGAAATGCAATTGGACTACAAAACCCTTGGTTCAGTGCGGGCGCCGCTTCGTGGAATGTGCGATAGTGACATCATCAGCGTGACAGACGTTTGTAGTCCGTTACGGAGAAACACTGATTTAAAAATAGTATTTCTGTCTTACTGTAAATTATTTATTTGAAGGATTGACATAATGACCAACAAATAGCAACAGAAAGATGAGACTGCGCGAAATGGCCGTCATTTCGACATATTCCGTGGTGAAATGTTGATGATACCACTTTCGCTATCAGGCGTTGGTGGTATAGTGGTTAGCATAGCTGCCTTCCAAGCAGTTGACCCGGGTTCGATTCCCGGCCAACGCATCACATGTTTTCCTCCAGCAATGTTTAACCAGGACTGCGTTTTATCTGAAAACAGGCTGTGCCAAGATTCATCAGTTTTGCTTAACCCACTAATGTCCAACAGCTACATGAAGCATCATAATGAAAGCATCACTAAACCCTTACAAAATATGGTTCTTCAATGATTCTTTAGTTCTACGTAGAACCATTTGCATGCTTAAATGGTTGCATGGTGAAATGGTTCTTAAGATTGATAGAGAACGTGTTGCATCCTTTTGAAAATGGTTTTATATAGCACCAAAAGGGTTCTACTATAATTACAATGTCATGCTTGTAACAACAGCAGAGCCCTTTTTGGTTCTACCTAGAACCACTTTCAAAAATGTTCTATATAGAACCACATACAACACATTCTCCATCAATCTGAAGAGCCATTTTACCATACAAAGAACCATTTAAGCATGAATGGTTCTATGTAGAACTCATGGTTTTTGTTACTAAAGAACCCTTGAAGAACCATCTTTTTTAAGACCGAATTGCATTTCGTTTGGGGGCAGGCTGAGGGGTGGGGCAGCTAGCAAGCATTATTTCCCAGATATTTTGCTATAGAGAGGATGACGAACACCCATCTTATTATAGAAAATGATAATCCATAACCATAATTTGAGGCGAAAAGCATTTTAAAAGGGACATTCCCACCAAAAACTAGTATTTTATATGTTTTTGTGATGTTATTATAGTATTCTGTTGTGCAGCATTCCATCCCTTAGTATCACTTTTGTGTTTATGTCCATTGTCCTTCAATGTTCTCTCACTACAATACCCAGCATGCACTATTCAAATACATCATACAACCACTGGGAATCCCCCTGTGGTGATAAAGTGCTAACGGCCACTGATAAAGATGCTAATGGAAACAGATGTGGTATTAGGACAGGGCTCGGCAACACGCGGCTGTTGAAACAAAATAATCCTCCTCTGCAGTAAAATAAATCTCTGCTGATCGTTCAACACAGTTTTAACAACAAATGGTCTTAAACTCTGGAGTTAACTCAGCTGACGAAACGGCGAAGAGAAAGATTTAAGACAAACAATTATAATTTGGAGACGAATTGACTCATTTGCATTTATAAGCACTCAGCTGGTTTCCTGATACATTTAATCCACAATGAGAAACTAACAAACACTAAAAAGTCCCAAAGCTGAAATCAGTTTCTCATTTGAATTTTCCCGTTCCACCTTAAATGGTGCCGCAGTTACATTCTGGCGCCTCAGGCTGAGATTTAAGGTGGAACAGGAAAATTCAAACAAGAAGCTGGCGAATGAGAAGCGACTTCAGCCTCGTAAAATGTCGAACGTTGAGAGACATTTTACAGGGAACTGTTCTACTTTTGGAAAAGTTTCCTGCCGGAGATGTGAGAAAAGCAGCTATAGCTGAGCTACAGCTTAAAGTGGAGCAAAGTAAGTCTGCGTTTTTGTTTATATTATATTTTTTAACCTACACTAGGACATCAGCACATACTGAGACATATTAACAGTCAAGATGGTAAAATGGGCATTAAATGTTGAGGCTCCCAAGGTGGTTTGATTTTTGTTGAAAGGACAAAATGGCTCTTCGTAACATTCGGGTAGTCATCCCCTGAATTAGGATATCTGGCAGTACTGTTAGCCCTACTGCTTCCTTTGCCATTAATCAGCTTATGGATAACAGTCTAACCTCAATTATTCACCCCAAAACACTTGTTCCTCCCACCTTCAGTATACATCATCGAACGGGGGTTTTCCTACTCTTCAAACCAGAAAATCACACTCTAGAGACCACGGCCACAGCTCTGTAGGAGACAAGTAGGCATGATGACAACAGATGTACAGATGGTTAAATGTTTAATTTTGGCAAATGTGTTCTTCTAAAATGTAAACAACACACAGTTGCTTACCTCACATCTAACTGGCTACTACACCCACTGGCAAAACACCACAACAACCATAGGCTATTTAGCATTCAAGGTGGTCAGAAGCCCACCCTTTAAAACAAGGCTTCCCAAAGTGTGGCCTGCTTTTGACTTGGCCTGCCAGAAACCCCAGCCCCTCACCCAATCAGACAGCTTATTTTTATACTACATAAACGTAATAAATTCTCATTTTTCTTTTGTATTATTGAAGCGTTGTAGTAAACAATGTACAGTAATGTTAGAAAATATTTTTAAAAACTCGACACTTCTTTATTTGTAAAAAAGTTATGCTGTAGCTACGTCCACAGGCCACAGCTATACCCCTGATCTATAGTTGGATATTATGTATGAATATCTAACCAGTAACCGTTTTAATTTTTTTTGTTACATCAAACTTTCACACTTTTATTCACACTCAAATTTGGAATGTATATTGTTAAATTAAAAATCAGTTCTTTGTGACCAAAATCTAAAAGTTTGAATTTAATCCGATTACATTATGTGATAAAAACTCTGTATGGTTTGACTGATTTGAAAATCTGTTACAATTTTTAGATCTTGAGATCTCACATATCGAATGGCCCTTTATATTCAGCAGCCGTATCCTGGAGGTACAGATTTACGTACTGCAGAATGTGGTCGACAGCAGTGAGCAGTAAAATATCTGTGTTCTCTTCCAGCTCAAGCTGTGATGAGTAGTTTTTCACTGGGACGATGTAAGATGTGGCCATTCCCAGCAGCGCTCCAGCCTTTGCCATCTGGACAGGTCAACATAAAAGGTCATTAAAGTGGTAGTTCAAACAAATGTAAACAATTTTACCCTATCAGTAATGCAGCTGATCAGCCGAGACGTGTTTAGTGTCTGAAGCTTGCTTCTTTAGTTTTGCACTGGAGGCTAATAAAGCTAAGTAAGTAAGTCTGTTTAAATGGCCAGTTTTCCACATTTTCATGCTTATCTTTCCCATTAAGTGTGCTTATGGCATTTGTATGTAATTCTTTATTGCATGATCATTTTCCAACCTCTCTTTATATATATATATATATATATATATATATATATATATATATATATATATATATATATATATATATATATATACACACACACACATATATGTGTTGGATTTTGTGACATCACATGTTTTTGCAGCTTTTTTCATAAATGGACTATGGATATACCAAGATTCAACAATACTACATCAGACTCTTTTATTCCAAAAAGTGAGGAAAATCAAATTTTTCCATGATATGGGCACTTGAACATTACTTAATATGATTTGATGCAAGTGTATGATGACTTAAGCATTGTTTGCCTGATGCTAAATGGTGGGGTACAAGCTTCCATTCCAAATACATATAAATATAGCAGAACTGTTTCCTTACCAGCTGCTGAACAGTGGGGTTCCGGTACACGTGGGTGATGTCCTGAGAAGTCTCCTTGCAAATCTCGTCCACATGAGTCAGCAAAGCCACTTGGTGCACACCTGCAATGAGAAGACCTTTAAGGGGGAATTCCACCAATTTTTTCCAAAATTGCACATAATTTATGTCCATTCACCGTTTAGATGCAATAACTAAATGTTGCATGATAAGAAAAATGCCATAAAATTTCTTCTGATTGATTTACAGTACTATATATATATATATATATATATATATATATATATATATATATATATATATATATATATATATATATATATGTGTGTGTGTGTGTGTGTTTATACATATTTTCACATCAAATCAGCTTAACAGGTCTTTTGACCGGGGGAGCAGAAACCTTTACATACGTCTGTATTTCTAATCTTCATCAATCATCTGAAGACTCACCCAGGTTGCTGATGTGTTCTCTAAGCTTCTGGAAGGTGGAGCTCAGTCCTTTGGAGTAGGTGTTGATTTTTGAGGCATCGACCACAAACACCACACAGTGAACCTTGTCTTTGAGGCCGGGTTTCTTTATGTAGCCTGAAGTCTCAGATTTCACAGGTTGCTCTGGGCTGAACTGTGAGGGGAAAAGCTTCACTGCTTACTAAGAGTAACAGCTTCGATAAAAGATGCATGCCACATTTTAAAAGCCATAAAACTATGAGTACTCACATTTTTTTAATTCAACATTGGCCAAAATAAACAATTTAAGAAAGAACACGAGGCAAAAACAAATTAAGGGGCCAATATAATGGAAAATTTTCTCCTTTTTTTGCAATAAAAAAGTCTGATATAAGCATATAAGCATTATAAGCATGTAAGCATTGCTGAATGTACTGTTCACTCCTTAGTCCATACAGTCCTTATGTGGAAACTAAGCTGCAAGAACAGATCATTTTAAAGTGACTGTCAAAAAAGCCAACTCATTTACACACATACATCTATTCATTCTACAGCAGATTAGCCCATTTATGATTAAGCCATAATGAAAGTTTCAGCCCAGACTGCTGTTTGAATGAGACACAATGCAGGGCAGCCAATCAGAACAGCGCTCATTTACATATATCAGTCTTAAAGGTGCAGTCACTAAAAGCAGCCTGTTTAGTTCTAAAAATGAATTATTATCTTTTTTGTGTATAAATCCACACAAATATCTTCAGTGGATCAGGCGTAAAAATATTAGAATAGAATGTGGGCCTTTAACAGAAAAATCGAATTTGCACAATTTTGCGTTTACCGCAGACAGTCGATCAGCCAAGACATATTTGGGGGTCCAAATTTTGCTCTTTTAGTTTAACGCTGGAAGTCAGTAGTCACCCAAATCTTTTTTGTAAATACGTGACGAAATCTCAGATTCTGCAGAAAGTTGTAAGTTTTATCATAAATCAAAAGTTTACTCAGTTTTAGTCATTTCACAGTGAGACATGCTCGGTTCAAAAACACATCAACAACTCCAAAGAAGCAAAGTTTGGACACCAAACATTTCTTAGCTGATCAGCTACTTCTGGAGTAAGTTGTGTAAATCTGATTTTTGCTGAACGATTCCTTTATAATGGCACACTAGGCTACCATCCAATCAGCTACTTGTTACTATACTGTGTATGCAGTTACTATAAACTGGTTGTTGTTGTTGTTTACCATCTCTCTAGGGAACCAGCCTTGTGACCAGAAGGTCGCTGGTTCGATCCCCTGAGCCGACAGTACATGACAAATGCCCTTGAGCAAGGCACCTAACCCCAAACTGCTCCCTGGGTGCCGTGGATAGGGCTGCCCACCGCTCCAGGCAAGTGTGCTCACTGCCCCCTAGTGTGTGTGTTCACTAGTGTGCATGAAAGTTGGTGTTTCACTACATGGATGGGTTAAATGCGGAGGCCTAATTCCTCTGTGTGCAAACACAGTTGGCTAATGGTTCTGAATTCAATTCTATAACTGGTGAGTTCTTACAGCTGCCAGAATGTACCTGATGTCCCTCTGGCACATGTCCTTGAATGACACAGAGTGCATCATGAAGAGTCAGTCCAGCCGTCTCTCCCTCTCCGATACCCATCACGTCACACAAGACCAGAGCTGTGGAGCCATCCGCTTTCTCACGACCCGCTCTGATGCTGAAGGACTGGAGCTGGAGGGAATTAAACAAAGGACTCTGCTCTGATTCTTCACATAGTGACATTTATTCACTAGTAATCCATCTATAAGGGGTTTTCTGCATGTGCCAGCGCTTCACTGTCCACAATATCTATCTGTGTTACTTTATTAATACACCATATACTTTATAAGAAGCCTAGAACCCCTTACCTTTGCACTGTCATTCACTGGCCACTTTATTAGAAACACCTACATTCTACTACTTCTCACTGGCCACTTTATTAGAAACACCCACCTTGTTCTTCCGCTCACTGGCCGCTATATTAGAAGCACCCACCTTCTAATTCCACTCACTGGCCATTTTATTAGAAACACCTACCTTGTACTGCCACTTGCTGGCCACTTTAATAGAAATACCTACATTGTACTTCCTCTCATTGGTCACTTTATTAGAAACACCTACCTTGTACTTCCGCTCACTGGCCACTATGTTAGAAGCACCTACCTTCTAATTCCACTCACTGGCCACTTTATTAGAAACACCTACCTTGTACTTCCACTCACTGGCCGCTTTATTGGAAACACCTATCTTGTAATTCCAATCACTGGCCACTTTATTAGAAACACCTACCTTCTACTTCCACTCACTGGCCACTTTATTAGAAACACCTACCTTCTAATTCCACTCACTGGCCACTTTATTAGAAACACCTTCCTCATTCATCAGTATGTAGGTGTTCAGTTACAGACTGTGGTACATCTGTTATTGTACAGTTTTCAGCCCCTCTACTCCATTCATCATTGGTCAGTTTCTGACCACAGGATCCCGCTGCTGTCCAGATATTATTTGGGTGGTGGTCCATTCTCAGCACAACAGTTACACTGACATGGTAGTGTGAGTGGCGCTGGTAGGAGTGTATCTGACACAGCAGTGCTACTGGAGTTTTTACACATGATGAAAGTGGAACGCCACCCAAAAATATCCACCCAAGAATAGATCTGTGGTCAGAAACTGACCACTGACGAAGGACTAGAGCTAACACAAACTGTACATCAACAGATGAGCTACAGTTTCTAACTGTATACCAGCAATGTGGAGCTTCAAGAGAGTCTTTACCTTTTTTGTGAAGCTTGTGGAAGAGGAAGATCCCACCATGGCTCGGTTTAGGACCCGTCCAGAAAAGACTGACTGTACCGAACTGATGAAACTGGACTTGCCAGCACCAACTGGACCCAGCAGCAGAACCCTGGCCTCAGAGACGTAGTCGCTGGCTGGTTTGTAAGACTTCACCATCTCCATCAGTGTCTCCCTGGCCCTAAAGATAGAATTCACAATGGTCAGTGTCCAAAAGTCCAAAATTATCCAGACACCCACTTCTAAATAGTGGATTCCTCTGTTTAAGCATTAGATTGCACACATCCAGCCACGTAATCTCCATTGAAAAGCAGTGGCAATAGAAAGGGACTCCAACTCAACTCAAATGAATTCACTAGAGCTTTACTACTGTAGAGCACCCTATCACCAGCAATTCCAAATGCTATTGACAGCATGTTCTCTGGAGAGATGGAACTAACACGTATGGAATGAGTTGGAGTGATGAAGCTCCACTGAACACCTATAGAATGAGTTGGAGTAATGAAGCTCCACTGAACACCTATAGAATGAGTTGGAGTGATGAAGCTCCACTGAACATCTTTAGGATGAGTTGGAGTGATGAAGCTCCACTGAACACCTATAGAACGAGTTGGAGTGATGAAGCTCCACTGAACATCTATAGAAAGAGTTGGAGTGGTGAAGCTCCACTGAATAGCTTTGGGATGAGTTGGAGTGATGAAGCTCCACTGAACACCTATAGAAAGAGTTGGAGTGGTGAAGCTCCACTGAATAGCTTTGGGATGAGTTGGAGTGATGAAGCTCTACTGAACAGCTTTGGGATGAGTTGGAGTGATGAAGCTCCACTGCACACCTATAGAAAGAGTTGGAGTGATGAAGCTCCACTGAACATCTTTGGAATTAATTGAAGTGGTATTTATGATTCAGAACTAATTGTCCAACATCAGTACCTGACCTCACTAATGCTAAATTGGAATCAGATCCCAAAAGGAACATTCCACCTGGTGGAAGTCTTCCACAAAGAGTAGAGGCTTCTACAGCAACAGTGGGAGCACCAACTATATATTAATGCCCTTGATCTTGGAAGCAATTTTTTGGATAATCTGGTGTATGGAAAAGTTGGATATAACGGAATAACGTACATTTGCATCAAAGTTGGAGGGATACTCACTCCTTAGTCCAGGTCACATTTCTCCAAGGGGACGGCAGAGGAGGAGGCCAAGTACCTACAAAAATGTACAAGGTGACTTAAGAAATATATTGAAACAGCAAATAATAATTGCATTAAAGAACTAGAAGGGGAAAGTTTAAGTTGTCTTGACAAAGCCATTGCTATGAAATTCATGTGGTTGCTAAGGTGTTGCTAGGCCTTCGCTATGGTATCCTGGTGGTTGATACGATTTTGCTATGTTATCCCAGGTGGTTGCTAATATGTTGCAGGGCTATTGCTATGGAGTCCCAGATGGTTGCTAAGGTGTTTCTAGGCTGTTGCTATGGTATCCCAGGTGGTCGCTAATGTGTTTCTAGGCCATTGCTATGTCTCAAAAGCATAAATGCACTATTCCTGTATGGGTTCTACAATCCTGATCCTGAAGTTTTGTGGTTCTAGCTCAAAAATTGCAACCTGTGAAAACGGTAAAAAAAAAGCATAGAGTAACAAAATAAAGAAATGCAAGCTGCCTTTTTCAAGCCGACTTAATAATGTGTGCACTTAAAGGGCCCATATTGAAAACTATCGAATTTTCCTCACTTTTTTCAGTAAAGGTGTTTGATGTTTGTAAACATTACCAACGTTTCAAAACATACCGTTCACTCTCCAGTCCATACAGTCCACATATAGAAACTAAGCTTCTGAAACAGCCTGTTTTGAATACATTGTTTCTGTGATGTCATGAAGAAAATCACATTTACAGATATCCGCCTATTCAGCCTGTCCAATCATGCTGAAGTCATACGGAGCGTTTCAGCCAATATTACTTTTTGAATAAGGCACAATAAGGGCAGCCAGTCAGGACAGAGCTCATTTACATATATCAGTCTTAAAGGTACAGAAACCAAAAACAGCCTGTTTGATTCTAAGGGATAAAGAAAGGTTAGAAAACGGAAGAATAAAAAAGAATTATGGCTGTTGTTGCTACATAAAACCACACAAACATTTTAATGGGGTTATCAGGGGAGATACTTAATTATTCTCATTAATCTTTAATGAGAGTAATGAAATCAAATGAAGCTGAAATTGCACTGTGGAGAAGTAGGTAAGTAAGCGGTTCTCACTTACTCCCTAAGTTGGTGATTCCAAGCGGCAGCACAGCATCCTCTTTCTTTTCATTTTTGAAGGTGCAGTTTTTAAACGGCGACTGGTTTACTAGGAAAGCAGGTACTTTGGGGACCGTGACCTCTTTGTTGTCCTTCACAGCAGCATCTTCACAACAGATATGTGACATCAAACACACAAAAATGGAAAGAACTTAATATTTAATAGCACAAACAAGATTTTAAGCCATGCAACAATGCGAACAATGTGGATGAGTGAGTAACTACAGCTCATTAAAGGGGAAATACACAGAATTTTATGAGTTTTCTGCATGTTTTCATGGTAAATAAGGCCATTCAGAGTGGTGTGGTGTGAACCGTTTCATTCTAGAGAAATTTACCTAGCCAGAAATGTTCATTTGATAGGAACCAGACATCCAAAGCTGTTAATGCCTCCTAAGGCTTCCTAGCATAAAGTTATTACACAAAATACTTACAAATATGTTGCCTGATTACTGAGACTTTGTATTTTGAAAGTATTTTGTATTGAGAAGGTTTTTGCCTAAAATGTATTTTTAAGAAGGATGTGCATGGCACTGTAAGGCAAAATAATACTTTTTTCACATTTGTGCAGGTTCGCTGGTGATTTTGGATAGATAGATAGACAGACAGACAGGTAGATAGATAGACAGACAGACAGACAGACAGACAGACAGAAAGACAGGTAGATAGACAGACAGACAGACAGAAAGACAGGTAGATAGATAGACAGACAAACAGACAGACAGACAGACAGACAGACAGATAGATAGATAGACAGTCAAACAGACAGACAGACAGACAGACAGACAGACAGATAGATAGATAGATAGAAAGACAGACAGGCAGACAGACAGACAGACAGACAGAAAGACAGGTAGATAGACAGACAGAAAGACAGGTAGATAGATAGACAGACAAACAGACAGACAGACAGACAGAGAGATAGATAGACAGACAGACAGACAGACAGATAGACTGACAGACAGACAGACAGATAGATAGACAGACAGACAGACAGACAGACAGATAGATAGATAGATAGATAGATAGACAGACAGACACACAGACAGATAGATAGACAGACAGACAGACAGACAGACAGACAGATAGATAGATAGATAGATAGATAGATACAACTTTTGCAGTGTTTCAGTAGTAAGACATAATTTCACATAAACTTCCATAAACTATGCAGAAAAATAGAAAATAGAAATAAATCTTGACATAAGTTAAAGTACAAGGGGGAAAAAATAAAATAAAAGTATATCTATATACTAAAGTATAACATGTCTATATTTGTGTTAATGTCATGGTGACCCCTGGTTCCTATCACCACCACTGTATAAAAATTTCACACCAAACCACTCTGAATGACTCTGTTTACATGTCATCAACTGAATTATGCAGAAATTTTCCCTTTAACTTTTTTGTTGGTGCATGCAGACAGTAACAGTACCTTCAGCACCCAGTTTTATTTCACTTGTGGAAAGAGTGTTGTTAGTTCTGGACGTGGATATTCCGAATGAAAAAGACATCACTTTTTTGCTGACGGCTCTGAATCAAAGAAAGGTAATCAGCAAACATTCAGATATGAAAGGACGTCTGCAAGGTGGCATATTACTTCACAACCCCAACTAACGCCATGCATTAAAAGTGAACACTGTAGACAAGTCAGTACTTGATGCATTTGCCAATTAAAGCTATTACTGATGCATCTAAACTGCATGGCAAGTGAAAAGTAACACATTAGTATTAAATAGCAACAGAAAGGTTGAGAATGGTCTTACATTAAAGAGAGCAACAATATGAAAAAGTTGAAAAAGTGCATTTTACTCACAGCAGTCATGCAGGAAGAGAGACGAAACTTAATGCCTGTGGCAAGAAACGAAAATGAAACCAAAGCCCTTTGCAAACTTAAGCACATACGGAGAGGGTGGGGTCCAAAGAGGACTGAAATTATTCCAAACATAGAGTAAACCTTCCCTTAACCCTTTCCCTCCCCTCTCCTCTTCATTAGACTGGTTCAAAGTTATGTGAGCACTGGGACATTCACACCCACAAACTGCACAAGCTCAAGGCCTGTACTGTCATATGCATAATGCATGACGAATTGACTTTTACTGTACAATGAGGTTCTTTGTTTTGGGTTTCCTCTGAACAGAAGCGACCCACTTTCATTTTTCAGGAACGGGAAATGGACAGTGAAAAATATCAAATACGTTTTCTTCTTTAAATCGTACTTAGATATCTAAACAGATTTATATTATGCTCTCAGGCTTGCAGGATGATCAGTTATTAATCTCTGTGTTACTGAGCTCTGCTAAAGCCTGAGTAGTCTGATAAATCAATGTGAGCAGTGATTAATCTCAGTGTTACTGAGCTCTGCTAAAGCCTGAGTAGTCTGATAAATCAATGTGAGCAGTGATTAATCTCTGTGTTACTGAGCTCTGCTAAAGCCTGAGTAGACTGATAAATCAATGTGATGATCAGTTATTAATCTCTGTGTTACTGAGCTCTGCTAAAGCCTGAGTAGCCTGATAAATCAATGTGATCAGTTATTAATCTCAGTGTTACTGAGCTCTGCTAAAGCCTGAGTAGACTGAAAAATCAATGTGATCAGTTATTAATCTCAGAGTTACTGAGCTCTGCTAAAGCCTGAGTAGACTGATAAATCAATGTGATCAGTTATTAATCTCAGAGTTACTGAGCTCTGCTAAAGCCTGAGTAGACTGATAAATCAATGTGATCAGTTATTAATCTCAGTGTTACTGAGCTCTACTAAAGCCTGAGTAGACTGATAAATCAATGTGATGATCAGTTATTAATCTCAGTGTTACTGAGCTCTGCTAAAGCCTGAGTAGACTGATAAATCAATGTGATGATCAGTTATTAATCTCAGTGTTACTGAGCTCTGCTAAAGCCTGAGTAGACTGATAAATCAATGTGATGATCAGTTATTAATCTCAGTGTTACTGAGCTCTGCTAAAGCCTGAGTAGACTGATAAATCAATGTGATCAGTTATTAATCTCAGCATTACTGAGCTCTGCTAAAGCCTGAGTAGACTGATAAATCAATGTGATCAGTTATTAATCTCAGTGTTACTGAGCTCTGCTAAAGCCTAGCTTTGGTGTTGTACTGGAGTCCTGCACAGGGGGTTATGGGAACAGCAGTGGACTGTAGCAGGTGATGAGGGAGAAAAAAATGTTGAACTTCATTTAAATGATAAGCAAATTTAGTGACAAAAAATCCAAAGTGCCTTACAAAATGTATTGTAAATGTATTCTGAATATGGTACTTCTTAATGCATTGTAATGGAATACGTTACTGAATACATTTAGGTCAGTATTCAGTCAACACTACTTTTCCAAAGTATTTTGCCCAACACTATATGGGCAGTGGTGGACAGTAACTAAGTAAATGTAATTCGTTACTGGACTTAAGTAGTTTTTTCCTGTATCTGTACTTTACTGAAGTTTTTTCCATTTTGGGTGACTTTTTACTTTCACTCCACTACATTTCAAAGTCACATATCTCACTCTTTACTCCACTACATTATGAGAAATCTGGCGTTCCTTTTGGTTTATGTGTGTATAAAAACATAACATGTCAAAACGAAAGAAGCGCAAAGCAAGAACACCAATCAGGGCACAGCGGTCACTTTGTTTTGAGCTTGTTTTGACCTGTTGGTCATACCGACCCAGTGCAGCACACGGTTCAACGTCAGGGCAGCAGCGTAAAATTCTGGGAGATTCTATTCAACATAAATGATGAACTAACCTAACTTTGTGTAAACAGACCACAATATAGAAATATGTACGCATATGCAGTTGTGACTGATGTGTCTTTTTTCTGAATTTATACAAACACATTTCATTATATAGCAAATTTGTTTTGGCTAGTTTATGTTTATGAACAGAGACCTACAGATGCAGTTTAGTAAAGGAAACTCATTTGTGAATCTGAGTTTAAAGTTTTTATTAAACTTAAACTGTAACTAAGTTCAAATAAATCTTAAACTGAAACTTTGCTTGTTTGTAAAAAGTGATTTCAGAGCCACTCAGTTCTACCTGATGGAAACTGTTTGCCTTCAGTGTTTTGTGCTTATGATAATTTTAATAGACATCAGCGTCACTAATTAATGACATTCTATTAAAAGACTGGTTTACCAAGAGAGACACTGGAGTATTTTCACCTATAATGAGTGAATGAAGCGAGTCTTGTTACAAAAATGATAATAGGACATTAAAGTCATAATTAATCTTTTAGTACTTTTACTTTCGATACTTAAGTACATTTGAAGGGAAATCCTTTTGTGCTTTTACTCAAGTGGAGGTCTAAAGGGAGGAACTTCTACTTTTACTGGAGTAATATTTTACATTGGGTGTCTCTACTTTAACTCAAGTACATGGTTTGTGTACTTCGTCCACCACTGCAACAACGCAGGGGCATCTAATAGAGTGGACAGTGAGTGGACACAGTGTTTAAAAACTCCAGCAGCACTGCTGTGTCTGATCCACTCACACCACCACCACGTCAGTGTTACTGCAGTGCTGAGAATGATCCACCACCCAAATAATACCTGCTCTGTGAGGGTCTATGGGGGTCCTGACCACTGAAGAACAGGGTAAAAGGGGGCTAACAAAGTAGGCAGAGAAACAGATGGACTACAGTCTGTAACTGTAGAACTACAAAGTGCACCTATATAGTAAGTGGAGCTGATAAAATGGACAATGAGTGTAGAAACAAGGAGGTGGTCATCATGTTATTCCTGATGGGATCTTTAACGCGTGACCTCAACGCCACAATAAACGTGGCTGACTCTTCATGCCAAAAAAAAAAGGGACCCCGCTGTGTTGTTATGACGACGGCGAAAATCTCGCGATGCCTTGAGTGACTGCGAGAGTGAGAGTGACTGTCGGCGGCGCCCTGATTCCCCTCCACAAACTCTGCTGCTCCACAGAGAACCTGTATGAGACGCCGGTCCGGTCCGGTCTGGTTCGGTCCTCCGCAGACTTTGGACACGACGGTTTGACGGTTAGAGCCCCGCTTTCGGGACTACAGCGACTCGCAAGTGGTTCAGGAGCCGAGTCGGTTTGTTTTGGTGTGCTTTCTCGCCGGTTTCGTGGTTGGCGGAGCGGGAGAGAGGCGCTCTGAGGGCGGCGTGTGGCATGGCAGCTCCCCGGCCTATTAAAGGCATCTTAAAAAACAAGAACAGCGGTGCTCGAGTCTGCACCGAACCGCCGCCGGAGAGCACGGAGCCCGTAGGACCCGGAGGAACCGAGGAAGACCAGCAGTGAGTACCGGTAGCCGGGCGGAGGGAGCTACTTTAGCCGCGTTAGCCTCAGTGCTAAACGAGGCTGAAGTTGGCTGCCTGTTCACCAGCTTCTCGCTCGAATGTTCCCGTTCCACCTTAAGTGGTGCAGCTGTTGAACTCGGAGTGGTAGCGTTAGCTCACTAACTGCTGCGCCATTTAAGGTGGAACGGGAAAATTCAACCAAGAAGCTGATTTTCAGCTGTGTCAGTGCCAACCTAACGCCCCTGCTTCAGCCTCAGTAGCTTAATGTTGTTTATGGTCGAGTTCTGCTCTCATGAAACCAGCAAAACATCTACTTTTCCCAGCAAATATGGGGCCAAACGGGCTCAGACGTTGTCGCTGGAAGTTAACAGGGCTACACAGTTTAGTAAATGCGGTGGTTCTGATGTTATCTAGAACAGTGGGTTCTATACAGAACCGTTTCTGAGCTGAAATAGTTCTTTGCTTGGTGATACGATGGATCATCAGACGGTTAGCTGCAGCTTATGTCATTTACCAGACGCTTTGAAACAGGTTTATAGTGTCCGTCCTGTAAATGTGCTTCTTATCTGATCTGAGTTTATAATACTGTGTAAGACTCCATTTGCAGCAATTATCAGAGAGGAAAGCAGAACAAAACAGTCTATATTGGGTTTGTGAACCGTTCTTTAGCAGCACTTAGAGAATCACAGTGTGTAAGATCAGCAGCATCACCCAGCACTGCAGCCCAGCCAGAACTGCTGACTGCTTACAACTGATAATCAGTTTAAATGTCAGTAAACTCGAAGTGAACTTAATGTGATCTGGCTTTCTCACTGTTTCTTCCTCCTCGTGAGTTTTATGGAGGTTTCCTGCATCCGTCGCCCTCGTCTCCCTCGTTTTTCCTGTTTTCTGGAAAGTTGCTTTAAAGAAAGAATGTAAAAACTGCAGTTCTGATGAAGTTGAATCAGACTGAGCAGTGTTGGTGAGCTGGACACTTAAAGCAGATGGTTCTTCAAGGGGTCCTTAGTAAAGGGAGGGCTCTGTTTAGGACCGAAGTTCTGTCTAGAACCATTTCTTTCTTTTTTAAGGACTCATTTCTTTCTTTCTTTCTTTCTTTCTGAAGGATTTCTTTTTCTTTCTTTCTTTCTTTCTGAAGGATTTCTTTTTCTTTCTTTCTTTCTTTCTTTCTCTCTGAAGGATTTCTCTTTCTTTCTGAAGGAGTTCTCTTTATTTCTTTCTTTCTTTCTTTCTTTCTGAAGGATTTCTCTTTTTCTCTCTTTCTTTCTGAAGGATTTCTCTTTCTTTCTAAAGAATTTCTCTTTCTTTCTTTCTTTCTGAAGGGTTTCTCTTTCTTTCTTTCTTTCTGAAGGATTTCTTTCTTTCTTTCTTTCTTTCTGAAGGATTTCTTTCTTTCTTTCTTTCTTTCTTTCTGAAGGATTTCTTTCTTTCTTTCTTTCTTTCTTTCTTTCTTTCTTAAGAACTACTTTCTTTCTTTCTTTCTTTCTTCTTTAAGAACTTTCGTTCTTAAGAACTACTTTCTTTCTTTCTTTCTTTCTTTCTCAAGGATTTCTTTCTTTCTTTCTTCTTTAAGAACTTTCTTTCTGTCCCTTTTTCTTTCCTTCATAAGGACTTTTCTTTTTGTTCTTTCTTAAGGACTTAACACCATAAAAGGGTTCTACTGTTGTTACAATTACAAGCTTGTATTAATAGAACAATTTTTGGTGCTATATAGAACCATTTTCATAGAGGTTCTGTATAGAACCGTACACAACACTCTCCATTAATCTGAAGAACCGTTTCCCATTTAAAACAGTGATAAATGGGAGAAAAAGCAGTTACATTCTGTTGAACACAAACCTGAAGAGAGGCTGCACCTGTCCTGCGAGTGGGCGTGGTTTCAGTGCCTTCAGTGGACACGCCCCCTGTAGAGAATACTGCTTATTTTTTCACCATTTTGAAACCTGATTTTATACACTTGACAATTTTATTTATCATTCAGATTCGTCTGGGTGGTTAATAACATTTCTCTGTGTGACAAACTCATTTATTTCTGCTTTACATGGACTTTAAAGATCTCTGACCAGCTGTGTGTCCATTACAGAGATAAAATGATTCGTTTTTATTTGTTAATGAATGGTTATTGATTTTTGACAACATAAGCACATTCAGAATCTTTGTGATGTAAGGAAACACACAGATGTTGGTTGAGGTGGTGGGTGGTGTCCACTTCGTACCCATATCTAGCAATATACGATAGCAGTGAAATTTCAAAGAGATGTTAAATCCCTCTGCAAATCCTTGACAAAGGCAGTAGCATCTGACCATTTCTGAATTGTTGCAGCCTTTACCTTATGAAGTCTGGCTGTGGCTACCCCAAAATGATAATATCTTAAAATTGCTGTGTCAGGATGATGATATGTCTGCCACAAACATTTCAAAATAGACATTTTGGAAGCTGTTAAAGCTGCCATAAGGACATTTTTGCTGTGAATTAAGAGCTATGTTAGAATAATCTCCTAATAAAAGTAAACAGAGATAACATACTTAGTCCTGTTTAGCTGGATTCTGTGTAAAATGCGAAATGTTGAATACTAATCGTTGTATTTCTTAATTTTTTATAACGTTTTTTAAAAGTGGCACTGCTAGAGTATTTTGTATGACACAGTATCCTGATACGTCTCATGCATCGTACCGCCGGGGATCGGCAACATGCGGCTCTGGAGTATAATCCTCCTTTACAGTAAAATAAAGCTCTGCTGATCGTTCAACACAGTTTAACAGTAAATGGTCTTAAACTCTGGAGTTAATGTAGAACTGCTAATTCACCCTTTAACCCTGAAGATCAGCGCAGACTGCTGGTTACCATAGCAACACAGACAACAGTCTCGTCTGGCTAGTAGCTAATGAAACGGCAAAGAGAGAGATTTAAGATGAACATCGATAATTTGGAGACGAATGGATTTATTTGTGTTTATAATCACTCCAGCTGGTTTCCTGATACGTTTAATCTGCAACGAGAAACTAACAAACGCTAAAAAGTCACAAAGCTGAGGTCAGTTTCTCATTCGCCAGCTTCTTGTTTGAATTTTCCCGTTCCACCTTAAATGGTGCAGCAGTTGCATTCTGGCGTCTCAGGCACCATTTAAGGTGGAACGGGAAAATTCAAACAAGAAGCTGGAGAATGAAAAGCGACTTTGAGAGACATTTTACAAGAAGCTGTTCTACTTTTGTGGAAAAGTTTCCTGCCAGAGATGCAAGAAAAGCAGCTACAGCTGAGCTACAGATTAAAGCAGAGCAAAGTAAGTCTTCGTTTTTGTTTGTATTATTATTTTTTTTTAGTCTGGCTCAAATTAAGACACATTTTCAGCCAAGATGGTAAAACGTTACTTCAATAAATGGACATAAAATGTTGTGGCTCCTAGGTTGGATTGATTTTTGTTGAAAGGACCAAAATGGCTCTTCCTAACATTTGGGCTGCTGACCGCTGCCCACGGCCAACACTGAATAAACTACTGTTTTTAAATGCACTGTTGCATTTCTCTGAACTGCATACGAGACTGAGCTGTTAGTGCGGACTTGTCAGGAGAGCCTCTCTGCCTGGAGGAAGGTGTAGGTCGGAGGAATCGATCTCATCCTTTTTGGCACTCTGTCTTGCTTAGGGGCGAGAGGAGACTGGCTGTCCAGACCCAGAGCAAGTCTTCAGATCACTTCCAGCAAGAAAGTCCTTGTTTAGTTTGGGCTGTACATTTGAATACCAAAGTCAAGTGTCTCTTATCTGTGAAGAGCTGTGAGTCAGAAGTGTTTAGCCTGCCTATTGATTTGTAATGTAAACAGAGAATGCGTTCTGTGTTGCTTCAAACAGGACGAATAGCAGAAGTGAACATTATACGTCCAAAAGTGTCAAGACCCTTCTGATGAGTGAACTCCACTGCTTTAAATAGGATTTCCATTGACTTTTCAAGCCTTTTTGCATAACTCAGAACTGAGGGGTCAACAGAGGCATTCAGAGTGGTTTGAAGTGATATTTGCTGTAGAAAAGCCCTTCTTGGATTTCTTTACAGTGGTGGTGAACGTGCACTGCGCACATATTCAAGGGTTTCAGTCACATGATTCTTCTATTGTGGCCGCCATGTTCGGGACCGAATTTCTGGCTTTGCTGCTTCGCCTGAACGTAACTGGAGGTGAAAGATGGCTAAAGTTACTCACCTTGTTTTGGAAGAGAAAAAACAGTGACCTCAATAAAGTCGATAAAATAGGCTGTGATCCTTATACAGTTTCCCCCTGAACTCCTGGTCCCACTTAAACTGGTGGAAAGCTACCAAATTTGTGTTTTCCTGACATTTATATTTATGTCAGTTTCTCTTTCACCAGCTTCTTGCTTGACTTATCCTGTTCCGCCTTAAATGGTGCAGCAGTTACATACTTCTCAGTTTCATTAATTTAAGGTGGAACGGGAAAAAAGTCAAATAGGAAGCTGGTGAATAAGAAGCAACTTCAGCCTCAGAAAAAGTCGAACATTAACAGACGTTTTACAAGAAACTGTTCTACTTTTGAGGAAATGTTTCCTGCCAGAGATGTGAGAAAAGCAGCTGTAGCTGAGCTAAAGCGTAAAGCAGAGCAAAGTAAGTTTGTGTTTTCATTTATATTATATTTTTTATACATACTGAGACATATTTACAGCCACGATGGTAAAATGGACATAAAATGTTGTGGCTCCCAAAGTGGTTTGAGTTTTGTTAAAAGAATAAAACGGCTCTTGACGTTTGGGCGGCGACCCCTGATCTAGTGTAAAGCCTTTCCAGAAGAGTAGAGGCTGTTACTGCAGCACAAACTCACTATTAATACCCTTCATTTCAGAAGAAACGCTGGACAGTCTACGAACTTTTGGACATATAAGGTAGAAGACCAGCGGTGAAATGGTCTCAAACAGCTGATAAAGAAAGGAAAGGATCGGATGTGTGTTAGAGGTTCTCTCCTCCTCTCTCTCTCTCCCTCAAATGACATTGTTCTTAAAACCT